TGAGCTGCTGTTGAGACTTAGATGTGAGTGGACTGCACTTTCCACACCTTCTTGTCTGCACTGCTTGCCTGGGAGAGATCCCACCCTCTCTGTTCTCAGGCCCAAGACACCATTTTGAGAGTTTAATGATGGGCTGCCACTTGACCTTGGACTGTTTGGGTTGATGTGGTTGCAGTTGCCACCTGGCCAAGGAGGGACAGGGAATCCAGGCTCTCCTATCATATATAGGACAATACCCACTGCCCTGCAATGGGCTACTGTGAGACTGAGATATGAGTGGACCATACTCTCCAGAGCTTCTTGTCCATACTTCCTGCCTGGGAAGAGCCCTGCTCTCCCTGGTCATAGCCATAGATGTCATTTAGAGGGTTTAACACTGGGCTGCAATCCATCATGGGTTGAGTTCAAGTTGTCATGGCTGCAAGCACTGTCCCACTGAGAAGGGACAAGAAAACTAGGCTCTCTTTTTCATGCCCAGGACAATACCCATTGCCCTGCTAGGGGCTGCTTTGAGATAAGGACTCAAGTGGACTGAAACTCAAGAGGATATAACAGTTCTAAATATACATGCCACAAAATCAGTGTACCCCATTCAAAAAAGCAAATAGTACTAGACCTAAAGAGATAGACAGAAATACAATAATAGTGGGAAGTTCAACACCCCACTCACAGTACTAGGTAGATCATCAAGACAGAATATTAATAAAGAAACACTGGACTGAAGCTGGACTTTAGACCATGTAGACATTTACAGAACATTATACCCAATAACTACAGAAAATCATTTTTTTAATCAGCACATGGAAAAGTCTCCAAGGTAGACCATATATAAGGCCACAGAAAATGTCTTAACAAGTTAAAAAAAATTTAAATTGTATTAAATATCTTCCTAGACAACAGCGGAATAAAGCTAGAAATCAGTACAAAGAGGAATGCTTGAAACTAAGGAATACATGGAAATTAAACAGCATACTCCTGAATGATCACTGGATCAATAAGAAAATTAAGACGAATTTAAAAATTTTTTGAAATGAATGAAAATAAAACACAATATACCAAAACCTGTGGAATACAACAGAAGCATTGCTAAGAGGGAAATTTATAGCATTAAATGCCTGCATCAAAAAAGTAGAAAGATCACAATATAACCTAACATTTTACCTCAAGGAACTAGAAAAACAAGAACAAACTAAACCCAAACTTAGCAGAAGAAAAGAAATAACAAAGATCAGAGCAGAATGAAATGGAGACCAAAAAAAGAAAAAAATACAAAACATCAACCAAACAAAAAGTTGATTTTTTTTGTTTTGAAAAAAAGATAAACAAAATTGATAAACCATTCTCCAGACTAATCAAGAGAAGTGAAAAGGGGACATTACAACTGATACCACAGAAATACAAAAGATCATCAGAGACTATTGTGAACAGCTATATACTCACAAACCAGAAAACCTAGAGGAAATGAATAAATTCCAGCCTCATAAAATTGAACCAGGAAGAAATAAAACTTCTGAACTGACCAATAATGAGTAGTGAGACTGAGTCAGTAATAAAAAAATCTCTCAACAACAAAAAAGCCCAAGACCACATGGATTCACAGCTGAATTCTAGCAAACATGCAAGGAAGAACTAATACCAATCTTTCTGAAACTATTCTAAAAAATAGAGATGAGAGAGTCTCCTTAACTAATTCTGCAAGGCCAGTATCACCCCAATACCCAAAACAGAGAAGGACACAACAAAAAAAGAAAATTACGGCCGGGCACGGTGGCTCAAGCCTGTAATCCCAGCACTGTGGGAGGCCGAGGCGGGTGGATCACGAGGTCAAGAGATCGAGACCATCCTGGTCAACATGGTGAAACCCCGTCTCTACTAAAAATACAAAAAATTAGCTGGGCATGGTGGCACGTGCCTGTAATCCCAGCGACTCAGGAGGCTGGGGCAGGAGAATTGCCTGAACCCGGGAGGCGGAGGTCGCGGTGAGCTGAGATCGCGCCATTGCACTCCAGCCTGGGTAACGAGCGAAACTCCGTCTCAAAAAAAAAAAAAAAAAAAATTACAGACCAATATCCCTGATGAACATAAATGCAAAAATCCTCAACAAAATACTAGAAAATCAGATCCAACAACACATAAAAAGGAAATACCCTATGATCAGGTGCGATTTATCCCAGGGATGCAATGATGGTTCAATATACATAAATCCATAGATGTGATACATCACATACACAATTAAGGACAAAAACCACATGATCACCTCAATAGATGAAGAAAAAGCATTTGATAAACTTCAGCATCTCTTCATGTTAAAATCCTCAACAACCCAGGCATAGAGGGAACATTTTAACATAATAAAGGCAATATATGACAACTCCACAGCAAACATCATCTTTAACAGGAAAAAGTTCAAAGCATTTTCTCTAAGATCTGGAACAAGACAAAGATGCCCACTTTCATTACTCTTTTTCAACATAGTACTGGAAGTCCTTGCTAGAGCAATCAGGCTAGAGAAAAATGAGACATCCAAGTTGGGAAAAAGGAAGTCATATTATCCTTGTTTGCTGATGGTATAGTTTTCTGTCTAGAAAACCCTAAAGACTCTACCAAAAGATTCTTAGATGTGATAAATGAATTCAGTAAAGTTTCAGAATACAAAATCAATATGCAGAAATCTGTAGTAATATACGCTGTATTAGTCTGTTTTCACACTGCTGATAAAGACATACCCAAGACTGGGCAATTTACAAAAGAAAGTTTGTTGGACTTACAGTTCTGTGTGGCTGGGGAGGCCTCACAATTATGGTGGAAGGCAAGGAGGAGCAAGTCACATCTTACATGGGTGGCAGCAGGCAAAAAGAGAGCTTGTGCAGAGGAACTCTCATTTTTAAAACCATCAGATTTCATGAGACCCATTCGCTATCACAAGAATTGCAAGGAAAGACCCGCCTTTATGCTGACATGGGCAGTAGCAGGCTTGAGTGGAAGGTACCCTGTGTGTGCCTAGAACTGGTCCCAAATCAAGTTACTGATACATGCTGTATTAGTCATTCTTGCATTGCTGTGAAGAACTACCTGAGACTGGGTAATGTTGAGGTTTAATTGACTCAGTACCACAGGCTGAACAGGAAGCATGGCTGGAAACTTACAATCATGGCAGAAGGCAAAGAGGAAGGAGGCACCTCTTAGGTGGTTGGAGCAGGAGGAAGAGAGAGCAGGGGGAGGAGCTACACGCTTGTAAACAACCAGATCTTGTGAGGACTCACTCACTGTCCCTGAGAACAGCAAGGGAGAAATCCGCCCCCATGATCCAATCACTTCCCACAGGGCCCGTCCTCCAATATTGGGGATTAAAATTCAATATGAGATTTGGGTGGGGATCCAAATCCAAATCATATCATATGCTCTTCTACATGGCACATCCCATTCTTCCCTCAACCTCTGGAGGCTGATACATCAAATATAAAAATGAAAGTCCAACAGAGTCCACCAAACACTTAAGGAAACAGCTCCATGAATTAGAGACTCTTGAGTCAGCATAAAAAATGACCTTCACCAAGAAAGCAGCATTAATGCAGCCAACAAGATTGGGCCTTAATAGAAAGGAAGTGGTACCCTCAGAGGGATAAGAGGAATTCAAGATCATGAGCTGAGAACAGGGTGCTATTTCAAAATCCACATAGATACTACATTGGAAATGAAATATTTCACTGATATTTAAAAAACATATCAATGAGAGAAGCAGCAGAATGTGCACATCTGAAGAATAAATTAGCAGGCTGGACATTTGAATTAAATAATTCAAACACAGTATCAAAAGAGAGATATAAAAAATTAAACAAAGGTTAAAAGACATGGAAAATCAACCTAGGCGTTTCAAAACCCATTTACTAGGGCCTCTCAAAGGAGATGAGAGTGGTGGAGGAAGTGGGGAAGGGAAGAAAAGAATCAAGAAATAGTCAAAGAAAGATATGCATTGTTGGATTAAAGGAATCTACACTGTGCTGATTATGATGAATAAATAAGGATTTTCCCTAGATATATCACAGTGACTTCAGATGTATCAGTGTAGCTCCAGTGCTCTAAAGGTAAAGAGACTGTGAAAGGCTTTAGGGACAAGTAGATGGGATACTGTTTTGATTTAGAGGCATGAGGACTGTTCGCTGTCTGGAGGGGCTTGGGGGCAATCTATCTCTGGGGGGGAAGTTAAGTGGAGATAGATTTAATATTGCAATATAATTTTACATTTTGTAAATAAAATGAATTCCTGTTGTTTTATTTAGCAAACTCTGGTTGTTAAATTACATAATTATCCTTGGGGAATGATTGAGATTCTCTAAAGTACACGTAGGGTATTAATATTAGTCAAAGTGGGGTCTTTGAAATGTTGCATAATCTTTGTTTTGATGTTAGCCCTGAAAGGGCTTCATGGTCATCTATATTTGTAGCCCTTTTCTCCCTGAGGCCAAGACCTTGTTTACTACTTTGGAGGGCAGTGCTAGGACTAGTGGTTGAGATTTCCTTTAGAAATCCAGGGCTTTCTGTGGGATGGTTGACAATTCTTTTGAACCTGATGGCTCTGTTTAGGCTTGTTGATGGGGTAACAGGGTTGTGCATTTTCTACCCTGAGCAAGAAGGCATGCCATTTACCTGGATAATGTTTTTAAATGAGCATAAAGAACAGATGCTGAGTTTTATTTTGTATTAAGATTGAATTTGCAAGGGCCTACTTATAGGTAATTTGATAACCTTGATTAACTGTACGGGTCACTGGAGTACTCAGAGTGCATCTGGGTTTGTTTTGGAACAATTAGCTAGAGAACAGGATCTCGGGTTCCTCGCAAAGGACTCCTTGTGGTGAGAAGTAATGATCAGTCTTACCGGTTACTATTTATGAAAGGGTTTTTATTTAGCTTAATACACCATACTTTATTGAATGAAGGGATTCCATGTTTCTATTCTTTTCCATTTTAACTTCCTGAACTTTTCTTGTGTGATTTTAGAGGGCAGAACCCACCAGTTGCTGAATTTAACTTGCTCCTGAAAGCTCACACTTTGGAAACCTATGGGGTGGATCCTCACCCGTGCAAGGTAACTGCCCCTCACAGCACAGCAGGTCACCATATTGTGATTGTTTTGCTCCAAAGAGAGTTCATCTGTGTGCAGGCCTGGTGGAGCCCTATTAAGTCTTTCCCACAGCCTGGCCCACAGACCCTCATCGGAAGGGACAACAGTGGGCTGCTCTTACATGTTTTGGCAGCTGATTTTCTCCACTGGAGTCTTTCAGTTGCTCACTGATTGCTATGTAGTAGCCACATTTTCCTAAATTAACATCCATGGATTCACTCATTAGATGAATGGTTTGGCTCCCGAGGAGTTACAGATTCCTGACACATTTACTTTCAAGGCCATTGCCAGAAACAATGCAGTCTTAAAAATTGGGAAGGTGGAAGAAAAAAAAAAAAGATTTCAAGTTGCATTTTGGCATCAGGAACACTTGTTTTTATTTTTTCCTTTATTCATATCTGACAGCGTTTTTCTCAAGGATGAAACAGACTACTTATATCAGAATCACCTGGGCCTCACCCTAGAGCTACTAAATCAGAATTCTGGGAGACAGCTGGGGAATCTGCCTTATTATCAAGCTCCCAAGGTGATAGTTGTAGATACATTTTCCAGAAACATTTCATTAAAGCAATGTTCTTCTTTCCATATATTAGATTATGCATCAGCCAGACACTAGTCCTAATTCTAAAGTAAGCAATTATATCAGTTGGGCTCTTAAAGGTAAGTTTTTGAGTTTTAGTGGCACATTTCTTTTCCCAGGTTGGACTGCCTAATAGTATTTGATAAAGCATTAGTCCTGTAGCTCTCAGCACAGGATCCCCATTGGAAGCACCTGGAGAGCTTCATAAACACCTGCTTCCAGAACACATACCTCACCAATTACATCAGGATCTGTGGGGGTGGAGCCCAGGCTCCCCAGGTGTTTCTAAGGTGCAGCGAAGGTGGAGAGCCAGGGATACTTGCCCTCGCTGGCATTTGCATCCTCTTGTGCTGCCTATACAATGTGTTGGAATATTTACCAGTGGCCCTTTCCCAGAATGATATTAATCCATTTATTCATTTCAGTGAATTAATTTTTATGCAGAAATTTGAACTCTATTTTATTTATTTCTTGGAGACTGACTTATCTTTGTGTTGTTATTCCTTTGCCTTTACTTATCTACAAGATGCTTAGTTTTCCTGGTCTAGGCTGGAAGCACAGTAAGCTTTTCTGGAGATATTTTTATACTGAAATTGCCAGAAATCCTGTGAGGGATTGAATCAAGATGAGATGCTCAGGGCTTTGGTTTTATCATGTTAGAGTGCTAATGGCAACCAAGAACAGTCTGCTCACGTTACAAAGCAGACCTAGAACACAGACAGTCCCAGAAGACGCTTGGAGGTAGACACAGTGATTTGGGACTCTTTTATATTTTCCCAGGAGGTTCCTAGAGGGCAGAAGGTCCATTCCTTAAAGGGAAAAGCTACATATTCCTGGACTTTGCCCAGACTTTGAAAGGCCTGCTCTTAATTTCCATCTCAGAAACTTAGTTTATTGCTACAATCATTGGAATTAATCTGAAATTAACCTAGGGTGAGGATAAATAAGTATATTGGTTATCATTTATTTTATTTTCCTCAATCTAAACAGGTTTTTCTATTTTTTTTTTTTTTTCAGGATTCAACAGGCACAACAACATTTTTAGGATTCACAGCTGCAGGCTTTGTGGTATTCCAGGGAAATAAGAGAATCCATTTGATAAAATGGTGAGTGCCTCTTTGGAAAATTGGCTTTCCGTTTTTCTTAATCTTGATTCCTCCATACCCTTTTTGGCTTCTTGGGCAAGTGTCAGTAGGATGCCTGGTATCCGTTTCCTTGCCTGGGAGCTTCATCATAAAGGGATGTAACATCTAGGTTGCTTTTGGTGGAGACTTGAATTTGCCAAGCTGAGGAGTCAACTCAGGAGGCATGGGCTCAGGGGCTCTGCCTTCAAAGAGAGAAGTATCAATGTTTCTTTACCAGTAGCTTCTACTGCTGTGGCCAAGGGGGACACATGGGCGGGTCAGGGCAGGGTAAAGGTGTGAGTTCTCATGAACGACTAAGGACCCACTCTCCCCAACTCACTTCTTTCCACTCTCCTCCTCTATTGAATCCTGGGTGCAAACCCACCCTTTGTTATCCAGGGTATCCATGAAGATGCTTTTGGCAAAAGGTAACAGAAATGTCTACTCTGGCTTACAAATAAGAGGACTGATCAATTCACAAAGCAAACGTGGAACAGTTCTATGGTCTGTTAACTTAAATGCCAGGAAGGATTTAGGTCTGATTTTTTTGTCTCTGCCATCTTTGGGCAGGGGCATTGGTCCTGAGGCTCCTGTTCCTGAGATGGGTATGCATGGGACTGGCCTGCCCATCTCCCCATGGCAATGCCCGGAGCCTGGAGGAGAGAAGCCCCTTCTATGTGTTCCCATTTCAAACAAGGATAACTTTTTCAGAAGCCCTGTAGGAGACTTGCTATATATCTAATTGGACAGAATTGGGTCACATGTTTCTATTTGAACCAGTCCTTCCTGAAAAGGGTGGGAATTCAAATATAAAAGAACACAATTCTTTTGTAAACAGGGAAAGCAGGAGTGAAAATTTTGCAGTGTAGTGGATTTGCTTCCTGGAAATGGATTCGGAAGGAGGAGAAAGTCAGATACTGTGAATCCACATCAGTTCATTAACTGAATCTGAAATAACCACGTTCTTTCCACCTTGCTAAGTGGGCTGGGCAATTAATATTGTTTTGGTCATTATGTTCATGAACACTAGAGCTTCTTGGAAGAAAGATGCAGCCTGACCGTAAATAGAATAATTCTGAGCTGTGTATGGATCCTCTCTTGGGAAGAGAATTGCTATGTAATTCACTTGGGGCTTTTCGTTGCCCATTAGACCTTCACCAATGATAAGATAGTATCCTGTTTCATTGCAGTCTGCTTGGCATTTGTGAGTCAGTCAGATTCCTGTGGGAAAGCCAGGTACCTTGGTTAGCTGCCACTTTTTTTCTTCTCACCCAGAGATTTTCTTTTCTTAGGCCAGATGTCTGCAAATTGAAGTTTGAAGGGAAGACATTTTATGTGATTGGCATCCAGAAGGAGGTCAGATATTGCTTTTTCTAACTGCCTGTTATTGTGCGTGTGTGAGAGATTCAGGAATTAAATGTGCCTTTAGTATTGTAGTCACCGAAGACCATGACTTTGAAGCGTATGATGTTAATGAAAGCTATATGTTGAAAATATTTTAGAGGTCAACAAATGAGTATTGGGTTTGGGCATTGAAGAATAAAATCAGTGTGCAATGCTGATTGTACACTCCCGTGTGGAGAACAGACTAGGATAGACTTTGGAAATCAAAGATGGAACCTCTCCCTACCTCTTTTTGCCAAGATACAGACATATGAAACAAAGAATATTTACAAAGCTAAATATCAACAACCTGTGCTTGCTGGATTGTTATAAATAGAGCATATTAGCCTATTAATAAGGGAGTTACTAGATATAGGTTGTGGTGCACCAGAGAATGCACTATGGGGAGACCATTAACAAAAGATTAAGCCTCAGAGCTAGCTCTAGAAGTCTGCAGGTTTTCTTGACATTAGTTTTCAACTCAAGTACTAGTTCCTCAAGGAGGGCAAATATGTTTTAAGGCTAATTCAAGTGTGATAGAGAGGTGGATGATGCCTGGAGTGTTGAGAAAGATTGTGAGGCTGATTTTTCATCAGAAACAGGACCTAGATACATTAGTGCTATCTGCAAAGGGTGAAGGAGGGGTGAATACCATGTCAACAATACTGTAAAGAACATAGCAATATGTTGTTACTTCAAGTCTGTGTGATAGGAGGCAGGATACAAAGAGGTAAACACCTGAAAAAGAAACCCCATGGAATATGTAAACGGTGTTGAACGTGCCTTTTCTTGTTTTGTTATTTTTTAATTAGAAAAAAGCCATGTTGGCATTCCATACTTCAACACCAGCTGCCTGCAAACATCTTTGGAAGTGTGGAGTGGAAAACCAGGCCTTTTATAAGTAAGTGGATTTTATTCATTTAAATTATAGCTTTTAAAAGCACCCATGGAACTCTTTATGTTTTGCAAATGGAAATGGCTGCATGTTTATTTCTTTTAATACAATTTTTAAAATTATATTCAAGTAAATTAAAATTTTATGCACTGTTCAGGGTGAGTCCCAGTGACTGTTGGCTTGTTGACCTGACCAAGTCCTGAGCTCTGTGCTGAATGTTTCGTATAGAATGACTGTGGACCACTGTGTGTGTGTGTGTGTGTATTTCAAATTGCTATTTCCACAAAATATGTGGCAGGATCAATTTTTGGTGCCCTCCTCTTCCTCCTCTCCCCCAAAGCAGACCTTGAGATAGAGTCTGATGCAAGCAGCTTATTTGGGATGTAATCAATGGACCTACCAGTCGGGGAGGGGGGAGTGAGATTGGGAAGCAATATAAGGTACATTATTGAACAGGTCACCACTATGGACAACTGGGCTCAGATCTTCTTAGGAACTCTGGGACATGGTATAATATACCTCACAGCTCTCCTGCTGATGAGCAAAGAGGTGAGGCTGTTTATCTACTAATTCCCCATTCATTTTGGTTGAAGGCTGCTTTAGGGGCCAGAGTTAATACCCTCTGATACTTCTGGCTTACTCTGAGTATGGGTTGGATGTGCTTTCACAACCAGAAAAAGAGGCCTCTGGCAGAGAATTACCTGTGTTCATAGTAAGAAGGCTTCAGTGTATTGAAAACAGAGCCAAAGGTTTATGGGTGAATGCTGCCAGAGCCTAGGATGATAGAAATAGGTGCTGGACAAGACTTCAGAAACCATCCATAAAGCTCTCAGGTTTCAAAAGAAGTTCAAACTGAGATCTGTCCATGGAGCTCCATCTTCTCCTCCGAGAGACAGTTGCTGATCGGAAGGGCAGTGATAGTGACCAGCTAGGAGCCTAGTCCAGCCCCGCTCAGGCCATCAGCACCGTACACCCTTGGACCTCTTCCAGGTGGCTGTTCTCAGTCCCCCTGCCCCTCACAGTGATATTCTATCTTGTTCATTAGACTCATCTCACTGAAAATGCTGTCTCTGAACCTCCTGAGCTTTGGCTGATAAGAACCATTGGGAGAATGATGGCTTGGATAATGATTTCGAAACCAGTTTTAGCCACAGAATACTTTTCCTTAATCTGAAGTGTAGGCAAAGCCCAGTATGTAAAAGAGATAAAAAGAGAAGTTGTGGTTGTAGATGGGGCTTTGGTTGGGATTGGAGATTGAAGACTCTTTACTCGTTGCTTGTGGCTCCTCAGGAGCTTGAGTCAACAGTTGCCCAGGTTGCCTGTGCCTTTCCTAGGTTTATCACTGATATCCTCATGTCCCAGGAAACCCGTCAGTCCTGGGAAAACCCAGGAGCATAATTTGAACACCTCTGGGTGAGATGACCCACAAAATGCACACAGAGGGCTTGATGCTCTTAGTCTTTAGTTGGAGCCTGAATGTTTTTTATTTTGTTTTTAAAAAATTATTTTTAAAATGGAAATCTAATTCACATGCCATAAAACTTACTCCTTTAAAGTATACAGTTTCATAGTTTTTAGTGTAATTCAGAGTGATATAGCCATTATCACTATCTAAGTCCAGAATATTTTTATCACTCCCCAAAGAAACCAGATACTAATTAGCAAACATTCCCCATTTCATCCTCTCCCCATCCCCTGGCAACCACTAATCCACTTTCTGTTTTTACAAATTTACCTATTATAAACATTTTATACAAATGCAGTCATAAGCGATGTGGTCTTTTGTGCCTGTGGCACAAATGTCTCCAAAATTCACCCGTATTGTAGCATCTCTCAGTACTTTATTCCTTTTTATGACTGAATGATACCGTGTTGATTCAATAGACCACATTTTGTTTATCCATTCATCAGATGGTCACTGGGGTTGTTCCCTCTTTTTAGCTACTGTGAGTAATGCTGCTATGAGCATTGGATTCACATTTTTGTGTGGACAGTTCTCTTCGGCATATACCTAGGATGGAACTGCTGGGTCACAGGGTAACTCTACATTTAGCTTTTTGAGGACCTGACACATTGTTTTCATTGCCCAAGGTTTTGGAACTCTTCTGTTCTTTCTTTAATGAAATCATCTGGTTCCTGTCAAAGGATAACTTAGAGATGTTCAGTTAGATATTTTCAATGAATATTTTCTTGCATATGAGGGAATTAATAAATGGAGTGAAGAAACAAGGCAAAAACAAAATCTATTAACATGATTTTATTACATATATATATATATATATATATATATATATATATATCTGTACTAGATCTGATCTCTATTTTTCTAACCTGTATTTGTGATTTTTATTTAGGTTAAAGTTATATAACATAGGCCGGGCGCGGTGGCTCAAGCCTGTAATCCCAGCACTTTGGGAGGCCGAGGCGGGTGGATCACGAGGTCAAGAGATCGAGATCATCCTGGTCAACATGGTGAAACCCCGTCTCTACTAAAAATACAAAAAATTAGCTGGGCATGGTGGCGCGTGCCTGTAATCCCAGGTGCTCGGGAGGCTGAGGCAGGAGAATTGCCTCAGGAGGCGGAGGTTGCGGTGAGCCGAGATCGCGCCATTGCACTCCAGCCTGGGTAACATGAGTGAAACTCCGTCTCAAAAAAAAAAAAGGTTATATAACATAAAATTAATTATTTTAAAGTATGCAATTCAGTGGCAAAGTATGTTTAGAATGTTGTCCAACCATCATTTCTATCTATTTCCAAACATTTTCATCAATCCCAAAAGGAAACTATACTCATCGAGCAGTTACTCTCCCTTGTTCCTTTCTCCAAGATCTTTATTGGATTGTAGATTTTTACATACTGGCATGTCAGATCTGTAATAGATTTGAGCTCTCTGAGGGCAGGAATTAGGTTCTGCTTTTCTTTTTATTTCCTGGAGATCTCAGGCATTGAAAATATGCTTACTAGCTCAAATTGAAAAGGCATGGTTCCTATCTTCAGGAGATTGTTATTTCATGTAGGAGACAAAGGGGGGAGGGGGAAGCTAGAGAGGACTCCAGAGGGGAGTGATGAGTCTTGCTGCCAGGGGAGCTAGGAGGTAGAAGAACCTTTTAGGTACAGGAAGGGCATCTCAGCTCCAGTAAGGTACCATGGCAGGAATGTAGAAGATGCATTTTGGGGGGCATGAGTGGCTACAAGTTTGGAGCAGAGGGTAGATGAGGTAGAAGAAGAGGTGATAAGGGACCAGGAGGTCTTGGGGCCAGACACGGAGGACTTGACTGGCATAAAAGAGGCAACAGAGGTGCAGTAGGTGTGGTTGATCGTTCTTGACGTGCAGACAGGCCTATGGGAGGGGTGGTACAGGAGAACACCCAGCAGACAGGCTTTCCTTTAGAGCCACATGGCAAGTCTTGCTTGGAAGGACTTTGGCAGAGCCTTGAAGATCCTTTAGTGAAATTACTGGGTCAATATCAAAGAATAACTTGGAGACATTTATTTGATATTTCACACACTTTGTTTCATCATATGCGAGGAAGTCAGTTGGGAGATGAAGTTAAATAAAGCCAAAAACAAAATTGAAAAGAGAGGAGAGAAAAAACCTGCAATCTGGGGAATGTGTTTTGAACACTTTATGTAAGCAGATTAGCTGGCAGCTAGTAAGGAAGCTATTCTGATAATTCTGTCAGGAACTAGGTCAACCCGGCATGTCAGAGAAGTCCCTTCCAGTCACTTGTGGATGCTTCAGAAGACTTGGAGAATTTAGCTGTGAGCGCAAATGACAGACTGTATATAGTTGACCAAGTCTTTGCATTGGCACTTTGGCTATAGTTAGCCAAGCTACCCTGCCTCTCATTCGACTTCTAGATCTGAATATTTGTAGTGATCTGAGATTTGCCTGAACATTTTGTTCTTCCATTATCCCATAACCATCCTTGTTCCTGAGGAACAAGGGGACATATCACTTGTTCTGGCCCAGCTATGGGACCTTGGCCAGTTCAATTTAGCACTGTCTGGCCTTAGCCTCCTCCCCTGTAGAAGGAATGGGCCTGGGACTGACCTGGATGCATTTGCTTGCACCACTGGGGTGTAGCGTAATTAGTGTGAGCTTGGAAATCATGGACTTGGTTCTAGATCTTGATTCTGTTGTTTAAAGCAGTGCGGCCTGGAACAAAGCTCTTAATCTCTCAGAGCCTCATCTTTCTTTTTTATCTGTGAAATGAGGTTGAATTACCTGCCTGGCTGTGTTCAGTTCTGCCAGGCATATAAACCATTGATAAGCAGAAGCTGCTGCTCTATTACTGCCCCCTCGCCTAACGATGAGAGTATTTTGAGCACCAGTTGGATGAAGAGCCCACTCCTTTTCATTTGGAAGGCTGTGACTCTGGTAACCTCAGGGGTATGCCTGCTTCCCTCACTGTGCCCACCCTTCCCCGGGCGGAGGTCCTGGCCCTGCTTCTAGTTCTGTCTCGCTGGCCCTGCATTTTAATGGTTTCAGCCGTCAGAGCAAGGCCCCACTCTTGTTTCCTGGATGGTTTGTTCCATTTTTACTTCACGTGCAAGGGAGCGGGGAGGCCCCGGGGCCTCTGCTTGCAAATTCCCCAGTGTGCTTTTAGGACGTGACTGCGCGGCTGGTGGTCAGCTGGCCCAGAGCCGCAGATCTGTTTCGAAAGCCCTGGCTCTGAGATATGCCTGGGAATGGAGCCCAGATGCAGAAACTGTGATTATTCCCGCCTACTCCAGACCCCAGGGGATCTCCAACACAGTCTTATTCACCATTCAGGAGCTTCCTTTATACCATGTGTGGTCTATCGTGGTGCTGCCAACCCCAGAGCTCACTGTTTGTGGGTGCTGGCTTACTGAAAGCACTCTGAATGCATTGAGAGATTCAGTGGCTCACTGATGTTTTCATGCACAGCATCCTTATCTCACATCTGCGTTTTGCTGTGTACTGGATGCATGGGTGAGGCTGAAATATGACACTCTCTGTCCCCAGTTATTATGGAATTAT